CTCTTCATTTTACACTATATAAGTGTTGTAATTGGGGTCAAAACCCTATGATATGTTTCCTGTTCGATGGAAACTGTCCTCGACCTCGATCGTCAATACAAAGACAACAGGGTCCCCATATTCGTTGTAGCTCCCGATTGCGATCTTTCTCTGGGCGTCAACCGCGGACTTCTGTGGGAAAACGAATCAGATTCTCTTTCAACCCGTCTTCTTGCTATAGCATCCGTAAGCACTACGATTGATATAAAAGGCTGTCACCTCTGAAGGAAATCATTCCATCGCCGGATTACTAGATTAATGACTAGATGAAGGGTTGGGCGATACCCGTTCCCAACATACGATCCCCTAACTCCGCGTGTTGCTATGGCAGGACGCGATCCAGGAGGACATTGCTGGACTCGAGGCGACTGTAATAGATACTGATCGTGAGGAGAGAAGGAAATGAAGATGACCAACCACTCCGTGTTCTGCCAAACCCTGTTTGAGTGGTGGTATTGTACATCGGCTGGCCACCGCAAGTCATTGTATAGGCCACATACGCATTCATTACGCCATTACGATTCTGAATGGAAGTCGAGTGCGGGGCGCATCCCTCACACGGGATTGATTAACGCCAAAAACTTTATCCTTTATCCTTATTGCCTTTTGTAATCTTCCTCATATGACAGCCGATACAGGGACACTGTCTGAATGTGAAAGTGGGTTACGGCAGTATCCAGATTTCGTGGCATAACCATGGACTCGCCTCCCTTGTCGCTGAATGAAATTTTAATGGTGTTGGAAATTACAAGTACCACTACCAGTATCCACTCACTATTACAGAATCCTTCACTGAATGAATCCGATGCTCAAAATCACTAAAGTGCTTGCATTTGGGCTGACGTAATACTGTGCCCTTGAAGCTGTGCGCCTGAGATTAACCACGGTTTGTAGATTGTGTGATTTTTTATTTGCATTTGTAACTTCTAATGAGCTCGGAAAGAGCCTCCGACCCTTTGAGAAATTTTTTCTCTCGTCTATTTCCCTAGGTATCATACCTGATATGCTTTGTGTTGAGTTTTAGTGCATTGTATCTTAATTGAACTTTGTGTTTGTGAAACAAATCAGTTTCGTGAGTTTATCGTTTCCGTTATGCTACCAAGTAAATAGTGTACTAGGTAAACTATATATCAGTTCGCAAAGCCACAGACTACGTAAGCTACGGTTCACAACGCAAGGCGACACAATATCTCGCGATAGGTTCGCCACGGATCACAAGAAATATAGTGTCTGGTGAAGGGGGCGAGGACGACTTTCCACCAGTTTAACGCTCATTAGTGACCCACTCTTGCGCACCGCGAAAAAGGCCGACGGATTGTCTTGAAAAATGCAGATTCTTTAGCCGACACTTCCAAAACTCGAAAACGACCGCTTTTCTGAATGAAAAGATGCACTATAAAAGGAAAAGTTTTTGCTTAACCGTTAAAACAATGTCAAATGAACTGACCGTGGTCAATTTCGCATCAGCAGCCAGCGCCAGCCTACTGATTATTGTATTATTCGGGTCAATATTTATTTATAATGACCTAAGTGACTTTTACAAAACGATCCAAGACGACTTGATCGACTTCGAAGTAAGTTATTGCTACATATCCATAAAACACTCAATGCCTGATAAAATAAGCATTTCCAGAATTTTTACGACCACGTTTGAAATTTAACTTGCAAAGCGCAGTGCACCGGAACTGAATTTTCACTCTCTAATAGGCTACCGAGCTGAAATAATTCAGAGTATCGGACAAAACTAACTTTGAAAACTTTTTTTTTCAGAGACTTTCGAATGCTGCGTGGAAAACTATGATCTCAAAACTGCCTAAGAACTCCTTAGAGGGAAAATTCTTCCCCCGCAAAAAACGGAGCAAGGACAATTGTGACTGCGAGTTTGCGCATGAATGTCCTGACGGAATCATAGGGCCTCCCGGGGAGCCTGGTGAAGATGGAGAAGACGCACAGCCAGGTCTTCCTGGAGAAGATGGTAAAACCCAATTTCCTGGAGCACCAGGTGATTGTATTCGCTGCCCGTCTGGAGATCCTGGACCCAAAGGCCCGCGCGGTGCAGAAGGACCAATAGGTGAACAAGGTGAACCTGGACTAAACGGCTTCAATGGAAAACACGGAGCAGACGGTTTACCAGGTGAAGAAGGAGAAATAGGAGACTTAGGCGTACCAGGAACTGTTGGCACTCCAGGAAGGCCAGGACGTGATGGCGTCCGAGGAAGAGGACTACCCGGACCGCCTGGTATACCAGGTCAGGCAGGCATCATAGGAAAGCCTGGTTTCGATGGCGAACAAGGTCAAATGGGTGACTATGGACCGATAGGAGCAACCGGACCACCCGGAGATCCAGGGTATGACGGTCTACCTGGCGAAACGGGCGAGCCTGGACCACAGGGATACGTTGGGAATTCAGGTGGTCTCTGCCACTGTAGTAAAAGGAGCACATTCCATAAACCCCATTCCGGAGAGATAACGAATGAACACCGATCGAGAGCCATTTCGATTGCAAGAAAGAAACTGAGTGTCCAAAGAAGACAATTAGACAAGAAATGACCAGTGTGTTAATTCAATGTATATCTTTCGAAATGACAAACAAAATGGCCATTTAACGGCTGGTTGTAGCGAAACTCATTCTTATCCATTATCTTTCCATTGTGAATGATTCATTCGTTACTCACTTGCTGTTCTATATTTCATTGCGAAGAGATAAAGATTGAGGTTAGTAAATACGCGCTGTTAACGATTATGGCTTCGCAGGCGTCGCTGAGAAGTTGTATAATTGGCGTGGCAGTATTAGGAAATCGGTCATTCAAGACAAGAGTGCTCAATGGAATACAATTCAAGATACAAGTTGGATGGCGAACTTTCAAACTTAAATATATTGCGTGTTTTAAAGGTCATGATGAGACCAATTGTCATGGTGCCATGCTTGGAATTGATCGTAATCTTTACCGGCCCTGAAGTTCGCGCAAAAACAGAAAGAAGCCATTTAAGGACTCCCATTCAAATCTTGAACCCTGTTAAACGGCTTTTGGCTCGGCCTATGTGAATGAATGTGAGATTTTTATCACATAAGCAAAAGTATTCGCTCCTTCTTCGAGCAGAAACCTCATTAAAGGAAGATCCATTAAGCTTTTAAGTAAAGGCACAGTTCACGACAAAAGCTTTTCGAGTCCCCTCCTAGGAATACCCAGTAGCCCCAAGCGTAACAGGATGGACGCTGTCGAATCCCAAAACTCAACAGCTAGGGCATAGTGGGAGCCCTATTATCGGATCGCCCGGACTTCCTGCCTTTCGATCGATGTCACGTCAGACAAGTGCGGAGGCGATTACAGATTGCAATTCTCGTTATAGGACACATACACAATCAGTTGATTTTAATTCTTTGTTAGTATTTTCGCTGCTGCGATCCTTTATTTTAATTTTCTACCGCGAAAGGCTGAAAAAGGTTGGCTACTTTCGCTGCTACCAAGGATTTTTTGTAAACTTATGCCTTTGTATGAATGAATTTCTGCTTGGGTAGTCAGCTAAACGCACCAAAACCCACATGTAAGCAATGACACGCATTGTATAGCTCGTCCATACGCCCCACTCTTCTTTATTTTTCTGATTTCATCCTCGTTTAGCCCCTTTTTGGGGACTTGTCAAAGCCTTTTTTCACTTTGGAACACCGATTCACGCAGTTTCTTCGCCTTCATTGCACTATTTTCCATTTTATCTTCCATTTCTCGTCATAATCTGGATTACCCAAAGTTATCGTGAACCGTGCCTCTAAATTAGCAAGGTCAACAAGCGGTAGAAAATTTTCAACTGTTGTAGAACTCAAAAACAGATTGACAAGAAATTAAAAAATTAAAGCATAAAAAGTAGATGGATAAAAAAAGTCCCACCAAAGATCATCATCACCTACTCATGCTCTGCTGTTGCTGCAGTTTGTGGATCGAAGCACACTATTGAAGAACACTGGGGATAAGTCATAAGCCAAAGCGGGATTAAAGCGCTGGTAGGATCACCAACGAAGCACACTTGGGCTGCGGCAGTCTCACAAAATCCCTGCGGTACCACTCGACCGAGAGAGGATACCTGAGAAAGTTCAACACTATAATTAATATAATAATAACAGATGTGTTGACTAAAGTCGATCGCTGATATCTCAAACTTGCCCAACTTACTTTGGCACATTTTCATTGGAAGGGAGTAATCCACCCACCTTACTGCTGTGCATCGCTGGAACGCCATGCTGAGTAGGATCCACAACATCAGCCCGAAAAAGCTGTTTTTCCTTCGGAATCTCTTGTCGGATACAATTCTCAAGCTCATCTTCGAAGAGAAAAACCCTTATGCGTTATCGAGCCAGTCCGAATCGAATTCTAGCTAAAAGACGTAACCTATTTTTTCCGAATACAGCACATCTGTGAGAAGGAGAAGTGAAGTAGAAGCATTCGTTGTTAGATAATTTCGAACATGCTCTCGGAATATTACAAGATCTACCGGAAGATTGCCGAAGAAGAACCTAAAAACATCCCGATTTATATCATTTTGCAAGAAAATAGACACACTAAAACTACAAAACTGTAGGAAAACAAGGAACAGAGGTAAAAAAAAGGAATAAGTTCTGGGGCGCTAAACATTTCCGTCTGAGGAATGCGCCCACGCAATCGACTTGTATCTAGAATTGTAGTGGTGCATTGAATGCGTATGTGGCCTATACAATGAAATGCGGTGACTCGAGGTGTGCAAGCCAGTTGGCTGAGATGGAAGGCTTGGTTGACCTTGGCGGATAGCGATTCGGAATTCGATCCCGTGATCACGCGTGGGTGAAGTGCACCACTTGCCACTACACCAGCCCCTGGAGCTCCTTCCCTAACTTTGAGAAGGAGAGGAAACCCTCTCTGCACTCTAGCACGGTCCCTATGCACTCTGCTGCCTGGTGTCAGGCACAAAAAGGCGATGGCACTCCCAATAACATTTTCACAAAAAGAGACTCACAAAAGTTTTTTTTTAAAGCCTCCTCTTTTATCTAATTCAATGATCAAGAGAATGTTTCACTTAGCGATGAATACAAGCGTAGAGCGCCGTCATGTTTATGAACACAGATTATGCAAAGCAAAAGAAAAACAAAACCAAAAAAGTCCAAAACTAGTCAGAGCGCGAATGTGCCTTACGACTGTTACTTCATTTTAAAATACGAAACCACGCTTAATGGTAAATGTTCTATCCTAACTGATGCTGATTAAATTCCTTGAAGGACTTTTACTTTACATTGGAATCATGTCGATCACGAGAAAAGGGGAGAGAATAATGCTAAAGAGCTACAAATTAAGGAACAGAAACGGACCCACCTGACAGGTATATTTTCAGCAAGCGCACTTAAGCAAGCATCACCATAATGGGCAATAGCATCGCACGAAGCATGTGCTGCAGCCACTTCGTCAACGCAGCAACTGCAACCTATCATTCAGCTGATTCTGAGAGTTTTGATTTCAAACAATGAAGTTTCTTGTACATAAGCCAAGCTCTGTAAGTATTTGAGCATCCACTATCTGCACCACCTACCAAGGAAAAGCACTTGCATCCGATAAGGTAATCAACCATTTTGTTGATCAACCATTACTTTGTTGGCATCGGTTGCAACGCTGCTTTTTCACGCCTCTCAAAGGTATGTGATGATGCGTGAAAAGACAGGTTGTAGTCTATCCAACAAAGGCAGCCTTTTTCCTTCACATGGATGGCAATGCTCGTATAATGATCGAAACCTGCTTCAGATGACTAACAGAGTGGCCTCTTATGAAATCCTTCCACAAAGAGGCAACTTTCCTTCGGTACGATGTATCAGCCAAAATGAACACCTTCACATTTGCTTTTGACTCAATTGCTCTAGCGACGCGTGCTGCTCTCCCCAGTAGCTGATCGGATAACTGAAGAGCTACTCTTTTGTAGCCATTATCCCGAATCCATCTCACTGTTTCTTCGACATTGAAAAAAGCATACAGTTTATCGTCATCTAAACTCTGAAAGCAACACAATAGTATAGACAAAAAATGTCCAATGCATCAGCATACTTTAAGCAGATTTGCTACATTGGCTGAATTCGTGATCAAGTTTCTTGGATGAACTGTTGGCGTTCGATCAGAGAAAAATTGCGACGTCGAGAACATCGGCTCTTCAGCAGTAAGAGCCATTGTTGAATAAGGCTTAAATAATATTTCGGGAAAACTAGACAAATCACGCATAAACGTACAACAGAACTTCAAATCTTCTTCTTGAAGGTTTTAACGCAAGTTGAAAAAATAAGAAAGATGGAAATGAAAACGCGGTCGAATTGAGATAAAAAAAAACATCCCTCGTATTAGAATGTGCTACAGTTCGAATATATTCATCACGAACCCGCTCAGAAATAGACGAGAAGCGCTGGACTTTCAAAGGAAAGCTCGTTAAGGGAGTTTTAGTATTGTGATCACCTTACTGATACAACTCTAAATAGCTAGTTTTTCCAACAGTCTGTATTTTTCTGAGCCTGAAAAGTTGTAATCGATCCATGAAGCTACCAGACCAAACGTCCAAGCACTCACAGGATACTGGGCCCAGCTAGAACTTAAACAACATAATCAGACAAGCCCTACGTGAAAGCGGTTGCGTCGCGGGTTCGCTCTATAGCGCATTATTTTAGGATGTCTAGGCACTGCGGAAAGGTCTTGACGACAGAAGATTTCCTCTTTCGTAACTCTGCTTATTGGAGGTTGCGTAGTGCGTTCGAGCACGTTATTTTAAGGTGATTATTGATTGTAAAAAGTAAGTTCCTACGACCAATGGGTTGTTAAACTATAGTTTGGTAATATATGTCTCTTTTCCTGCATGTTTCCTCGTTCATGTTTCTTCCAAGACCACTGATGGGTAGCTACCCTCCTCTAGTGAATGACTGAATACTGTTTGGTTATGTGTTTCTATTTCTGTCGCATGTTTCTTGGTTTGTATTCCTTCTGAGTAATTACTTTTACTGATAGAACCCTAGTCTAGGGATACGCCAACTTCTGTACAATTGAGGACACGTCGCACCTCGGTGCGAGGCGATAATTAAGTGTGAGGACTACATTTTCATTGAGCTGTTTGTATATCTTTACTAAGCTAGTAAAAGTTAAGAAACTGAAGAGAATGACAACAGCAAGAAGGTAAAGCAACTTGAGAAACATTATGAACTGCAAAAATTTTAGTAATGCTGGAATGATAGGTGCTGGTTTTGATGTTTTAATAATAAGAATTTTGTTTTTGTACACAGGGAAATGTGAAACGCGAAACGAAGCGGAGCATTCTACAAAGCTGTGAACGCGACTTTACTGTTTTTTTTATTTGCACAAAAGCAACACTCTTGGCCAGTGATAATGGGAAGTTTTCTGCTGGGAAACGTAATTTTTTATTGAGGCATCAGTTTTCCACTGCTGTTATTCTCTTCATTCAACAACTTTCACTTGCTGCATATTGGTATGCGAGCAGAGCAATGATCATGGAATTGATACACCTAAAAAAGAACGCCTCGCGCCCTCATGCCTTGCCTTTGTTTTATCCTCCATCTGATCAGCTTTTCTATTTCCTGCACAGTCGCTGTCGATTATACACAACGTGTGGATGTTCTCCGATCCTCTCTTTGGTTTGAACATCGTCATCCAAGGCCTCTTTCGATCGGATGAGTTATATCAATT